TGTCGAGAAAATAAAATACAAGGGGTTGCTAAGCACAACTTGATGAAACAATGCTTGATCAAGCCTCTCCTCCTGTGATAGTTCTTTGATCCCATTAGCGCATCTAGGAAACACATGTTGACATTCTTCACTGTGGAAAGTCAAATGGGAGGTTCAGATGTGGGAGCTGGTGTACTAAGGACAAGAGAGATTTCACACAGACACAGTATGCTTCTCAGAGGACAGGAGGTGAGCTCAGGGACTACTTGGCCACTGGGAGGAGAGGACGTGAGCTACACAGCTTCCTACCCACCAGTAGTGACCCATCAGCTCTACAAAAACTCACTTGGTCTGGTTTCCCACAGCATACCTTATCAGACCCTTAGTGCTTTGGCAGCTGGAGTACACCTGCACTCAGCTTGCTGTGGATATGAATTCTCGCCTTTATCACTGTTTCACCAAAAGTGGGAATGACGTAAGTATTCAAGGTAACTTTTAAGTATACATACTGACTCTTCTGATTAATCTCTTCTCCTCCTTCTGAATAAACTGGGAAGACAGTTGCAGTTTGGTGCTACAATGAAAGGCCCATAGTGGATGGCCTGGCTTTCTAACTTAGACAATGAACCAAAGTCTTGCTTGGCTACAGACAAGCCACTAGGTGCAAGCTGGTGTTGGATCCCTTCTGCTTTTCTTTGATTTTAGGATTCACTTGTACTGGCTTATTGAAACTACACATACAATTTAGGATAAATGACTTAAGTACATACTACATAACACCTGTAATCCTAGCTATTCAGGAGGCTGAGATCTGAGGATCATGGTTCAAAGACAGCCCAGGCAGGAAAGTCCTTGAGACTTTTATCTACAATTAACTACCAGAAAACTGGAAGTGTTGCTGTGGCTCAAGTGGTAGAATGCCTTGAGCTGAAGAGCTCAGGGACAGTGCCCAGGCCCAGAGTTCAAGTCCCTGACTGACAAAACAACAACAACAACAACAGCAATAACACAAAAACCTAAGTAATGCCCTATGTGGTACTTAAGAATGAAAATTATGGGAGGAAAGAGGGCTTGAAATCTGCATGGAGTGAAGAAACTTGTACATGGAACTCAGTGATGAAATTGGAGCTATTTTGGCTTCAGTGTGACAAAAAGAGTGAGGGAGTCCAGTACAGGAGAAAGGTACTAGGTCCTCACAGAAAAACCAGAGATGCTAGTATGTAAGGGCAAAGAGCCTGAAAAGAATACATGGAGATGCCAGACCAGCTGGAGCTGGGAGAATGAACTGGCTGGAGGCTAAGCTCTTCTAGAAAAGTCAGTAGTACAAATACATGGCTTTGGGATGGCACTGTCTGGGTTCCAATGGAAGCATCATCACCAGTCAACTTTTGACCTGGAAATAATAACATGGACCAGCTTTTATTGTCTGGCTACCTGCCACTGACATTCATAATAAAATCCACTCTTCTGTATTCTCACTAGGCTAGAAGCATCCCTCCCAAGACTGAGTCCCATTTTGTCTCTGCTATATCTCCTGATGATTGTAAAATCTTACAGGGACACTACCCAGGAATGGCATGCTTGCTGCTGAGATGATAATCTGGGAAGTTGGGAGACATTGAATTCATGTGCATTTAACATCACCTGTGGACCTATGGGAGATCTACATATGTACACATAGGCCCAACATCTCTATTTGTTAACACATTTCAGAGTTTCAGGATCTTCTTACCACTGTAGACATAGATCTGCTCACCCCTATACACAGTTCAATGTGTCCATGTATTTAAATGGAGTGACAAATCCATGTAGATGAACCATTTCCTACAAAGCTGAGTGTCTGTGTCCCCCTTTGTCTCCACAGGGAACTATATGGAATTCCACATCATGATGATATTCTGGGTAAAATGTAAGAATCCTACATTCCAAGTCCCTGGACTCTGATTTATCAGGTATATGTTTGCATTATCCTTCTAGCTAGCCCACTTCCGCTACTGGCTGTTCAGGCAGTGATGTCTCTGTCTACTAGTAAAATGCCTTCAGGAAAGACACAGACATGACCCCACAGCCATGCTACCTATGACTCATCTGCCTTCTTAGGAGGTATGTTTTTCTGGCAAGACTTGCAAGGTGAGGGGTTTACCGGAGAAATAGAAGATGGCAGGGCTTAAGGCAAGAAAGAAGCAACAATGAACAAAGGCAGAATCTTGGGTTGGAAATTTACAGCTAAAAGCATCTAGAAAATGCATTCTAACCCAGATCCTTACAATTCAGCAAGCCCCAGGAAAAGCCTATAACTTTTTTTCCTTCTACCTGAGAAAACCTAGTGCCTAGGAAAGTTAAAAGCCACTGCACCCTACAAAGTCACCTCTGAAGATCTGGGATCCCCAGTGGATCAGGGCACTCTAAAAGGCCATACTGGCTTTCAGAAGACTGGAATAGAAACAGGCTTGCAGCCCTGTCCATAGGATGATGCTCATTTGCTCGATCCTTTCTTTCTACACAAACAGAGGTGGTAAACAGTGGAAAAGGTTACACTGCTGCTATGCCACACAATATCCCTTCAGGCAAGTGAGAACAAAGAGGACACACAGGCGACAAAGAAAGAAATGAGCCTCTAAATGCAAGTGCCTGACCCCCAATCCTCAGGAACCATGTGTAGCTAGAGGTAGGCATTCTAGGTCTTAAAGTAATTACTTTAAAAGGACAATGGAGAGAGAAAAGCATTTTTTTGCCAATCCTGGGACTTGAACTCAGGGCCTGGGCACTGTCCTTGAGCTTCTACTCAAAGTGGCTGCCCTACCATTTGAGCAACAGTGCCATTTCTAGCCTTTTCTGAGTAGTTTATTAGAGATGAGAATCTCACAGACTTTTCTGCCCAGGCTGGCTTTGAACTGCCATCCTCAGATGCACCCTCCTTAGTAGCTACAATGACAAGCATGAGCCATGGGTGCCTGGCATTGAACACATATTTTAAACCACTCAGTACAGATTTCCAGTGTAAACTGAAAACAGAACTAAGTACTTCCCCCTTCACTTGGCAAGAGCTCCCTTCCAAGAACACCAGCGACTTCAGGCAACTGCAAATAGTAGAGAACCCTGGGCATTCTATGAGCTTATGTTATTTTCCACAATGTCGACTGATAAGTAAGGGACAGAAAGGAATGTATCATGTAAAACAGAATGATAATTTCAATATAATGCAATACTTGCTGTCACATATCAGGTGTCCTCTCAAAATGCCCTGTTGCACTGTACCTACCTTTTTTCTCGTGATCATGCAAGGGGAAACTTCAAGGCAGAACTCTGTAATACCCCTCTGACAGGATGGAATGGCCAACATCACTACTCTTGGCCACTGGGGTCATGATGAACTACAGTGATCTGGACATGACACTGCCTTACTACTCCATCTCATAACCAAGACAAGACCAAGAGATACTTTATGTTCTGGAGGGAGATGGACAAGAGGACCTGCCATTTTCAGCTTAGGGATTATTTCTGAAAGTTTCCACTGAATACTTTCAGACTACAGCTGAGGGAATGTAATGGTGCAAGGAATATGTTTTCTACCTAAAAACCAGGGCCACTCCAGTGATGATCCAGTTTTAGAGGATTCGCTTGCTACCAATATTTGTTCACTACTTTTATATTTGTTTCTGATCTGTTTCAGCAACTTATACATACATTTAAAGATTTTCCATATGAATAACTATTTCTACTTTAGCAATATCATAAAATACTGCATCTATACATATGCCATGTGAAAAATGATTTCTAACTTAGCATTGTTATAAATAAAATAAATGCATATATATACTACATATGAAGAACACATTCTATTTAGAATCATCATCAGTTCCTAAAGAAGTATATTAAAATATATGGAAATCCACTTTATTTTGGATTTCACATAAGGTACACTCAAGTTTTCAGTCCAAGTATGTTCCAATATTAGAAGGCGATCCTCGTTAGGAACACTACTACACTGGATAAATATTCAGTTTATAGATTCATTTTGAAAAGAAGATTGACTGTAGCTGTCTTCCTCCCATAGCCTTAAACCTACAGTGAAACATCATGAATGCAAAGACCATTTCCAGTAGCCTGAGCTTTAAAGCAGCCAGAGTAAAACAGAAACACAAACTGTAGAGGAAAAGTGACATACAAAAATGCTAGGGCAAAAAGGACTGTAGAGCCTGCCACAGGATCAAAGAGACTGGACAGGACCCCAATGGCAGTACACAGCCTCAGAGGGTTTTGACCTTGAAAACAATGTTTTGCATTAGTAACCGTTGACTTTACGGCTATCGGAGCTGCCCTTCAGGAGAGAGGCAAGGCAGGGCTGAGGGAACAGGTGGAGAAGGAAGTATAGAAACCAGAATGACAATAGGTGTGAGTGCAGAGAGAGAAAGAAAGATGAGTACCAGGCTTTGGTCCACTCCAACTCATGTGTCCTTTGCAGCCACTCAGATAAGATGTGTCCACGGCTGATTGGTGTGTTACACACGTTCCTCCATTCTTAAGCACCTGGTCAACCATTAGGACATTGGCCCAGATGCAGGAAAAGAACCAGGAAGCATAGCAAGATAGATAGGAAAGCATGACTTCTTGGCAAAGCCGAATTGTACCTCAAATGGAGTGCGAATGGTTGGAGCTTGGAGGCTTACCCACTAAAGGGGATTACTTACTGTCATGAAAACAAGGCCCCCTCAAATCTTTGAACACTACACGAAGGTCTACACCACTGATCCTTTTTTGTCTTTCCCAGTTTCACCTGAATATGGGGAGAGGGCTGCAGAAGGATACAAGGCCATTATCTTAATCACTTGGCCCCGGGAGTGGGCCATCATCGGTTTTACAATGGCATCTCAGAGCCTGAGACATTTCCTAATTCCTGCTCCAGCCTATTCCACAATACCGGTGATGCTACTTTTCTGTCTCCCCATTGCCTGAGGGAGCCCCTTTCCTCAGTCTCTTTGGTAGATCTGGGGAAGGTAGAAATACAACTCCTTACCCACCTCACTGGAAGTACACCCGCAGGGCTGCAGCTTCCGCCGCCATCTCCTCCTCTGATCTCCAAGAGGCGGGGGAATCCTCATCCTCTTTGTCATGTTTCTGGAGCTGTGGAGAAAAACATGTAATAGGCTTACCAAGAAGTCCTGGAAATACCCTGGAGCAAATGCTGGGTAAGGGAATAATTTGCAGATGACAGGCTAACAGGTGTGTGTGTGTGTGTGTGTGTAAAGGGGCGGGGTGGTCTCAGTTACATGATTTCCCCATATTTTAATGCAGTTCCTCCTAAGAATTATCATTTCCACTTTCTCGAATAAAATAACCACATTAGGCTACATGTAGCCTTTTTCCAAGGTGGAATAGGGGCTGTTACTGGATAAGTGTTATGCCATGCACCAGAATTCCCACATTGTCCTCTTCGTTTTGTTTGCTTCCTGGGTCTGCATAGGTATGAATGTGCCAAAGTAACCCAAGCAAATTCATCCCTTCATAGAATCTGTTCCTAGGTAATCAGTAAATGATATTAAAATAAGAACACTACTTTAAAAATTAACAAGTGACCCTAGTTACATGAATGCCTCCTTAGACCCCATCTGTATGTATTTAAAACTCCTGTTTACACTGGGTACTGGTGGCTCACACCTGTAATTCTAGCTACTGAGGAGGCAGAGCCCATCTAAAAAGGAAAGTCCATGAGACTCTTTTTTTTCTTTTTTTATTATTAATAAGTTTTTTTTGGTGAAAATACCGTACAGAGGGGTTACAATTACATGAGCAAGGTAATGAGTACATTTCTTATCAAGCATTGTTGCCTCCTCCTTCATTTCCCCTTACCACCATCCCTACCCTCCCATTTTCCCCCTCCCCCCTGCCCCTCACCTCCACCCCCACACTCCCCCCATCCTCTCCCTCACCCTCCCACCCCCCTGCCAAAGTTGTAAAGTTCGTTTTTCCACACAACATCTTGTACATTTCATTGTTGCAATGGGTCCACCTGTATCACTATTAAACAATTTGTTTTTCCCTTCCCCTCAACAAATTATACCAACATCAAATACAGTGAAAACAGGGGTTATCTACAAATAAACACCAGAAAAGTGAAAATGACACTATAATCTCAAGTGGCAGAGCACTAGCCTTGAGCAAAAAGAGCTCAGGAACAGTTACCCAGGCCCTGAGTTCAAGCCCCACAACCACCACCTCCACTAACAAAATACTTGCTTATGATTCACATTTAAATATAGAATGGAGAAAATTTCTGTTCTTTTGCAGACACTATCATTTCCGAGCTCTCTCTCTCTTTAAGAAAAACTCTGTTTTCCTTTCACTACCAATCTCCTATTGCAATTCAGTGTCATGATGAAGACTTGTCTGTGTGGCTCTACATGTGGTACTGCTGTGCTCAGTGCATGCAAAATACAGTATTTGTGTTAAGTCTACGGAGATAAATGACCTAGGTCTACCAATGGTGGCTTGCTTTTAGGATGTGAGGGTCAGTTTCTCTCAGAAGGCCAATACCATCAAATTTCCTTTGCCAAGGAAGAAGTTCATTCTCCTGTGAAAGATCATTCAACTAGGTAATGGCAGGGTTAGCGTTGTACCCCGCAACTTTTGCCTTATCTATTCAGAAGGTTCTACCTATTTTCTTTATATAGATCCACATGATAAAACCAACTTAATGTAATATAGTTCTACTACTACTGTCTCAATTTGCCACATCCATTCATTCAGAAGTTGTATACTTTGAAAATAACCCTTCCCAGTCAGTAAAGATATATTGTGCTCACAAAGTGCTTTATTCAATGGCAACTGCTTTGTATAACTACTTAAAATAATAATAATAATACTACCACAGCTTGTTATCTCAGCCCCCCCCAATTCTACATGTAACCCAGAAACCCCCACCCTGGAAACTTGCGAAAATGGGGACATTTCCTCATTGATTTCCAACCAAACTTTAACACAGAGGTAAAGCAGTGAGGACAAGAGAGCCTCACTCTCTGGCTGAGCTATTTTTCCACTCCAAGTAAGTCAGAGTCTAAATGAGATTCATTAGCATATAACTGGGCCACAAATATGTTTATGAGGGTCATGGATCTTCCTCTCAGAATCTGGCTGCCAGCACCCTGGTTTTACATTTTGCCACACAGATTTAATTCTCCTTAGTGGAAGAAAACCACATTAAGAAGTCATTTCCTTGCTCGCAGAGGCAGACGTGACGCTATGGCTACAGGCAAGTCAATTGGGATTGCTATTCTACTCAAGAACTAATTTTCATTTTGCTACTACCTTTAGGCCTCCTATAAATCCATCTTGTAACAATTCAAGGAGATGACAAGGAACAAGGCAAAGTCCAGGAAATATGGTCTTTGCCACTGGAGGAACGGCTCTGGGAAGGCACAGACATTGAGCATTAGGGGGGCCTTGTCGACACAGAGACCACCAGACAAATCCATATAACATACAGCCTGGGACCTGGTCCTGTTATTAGATGACCATCTGTGGTGGTCATATGCCTTACAGATGGCCACATTGGGTAATCACTTACAAGTTGGGTGTGGGAACTAGCAAATAAATACAACACACTCATCATATTTGCAAAGCTCTGTTTATGCATGAATTCTTAAAACTTGGGAGTTTTTCCTTTTTCTAAAAAGTGCAGATGAAAGCTTGTATCTTTGGGGATTTTTAAAGAAAATTGTGTTAGGGGCTTTCCAAGATACATTCACTGCTAGTCAAAAACATTACTGTGAGGGGGTGGAGGGGATGATTGTCACTGGATCCATGAGGGATGGATTCCAGTACCTCCCCTTAGAATACCCAGATCCACAAAAGCTCAAGTCCCTTCCATAGGATAAATAACATGAAATACATAGAATACATTAACCTACATCACTTATGACACCTCATATTTTAATGCAATTAAAATAGGCATTCTATACCATAAGATAGTTTCATAACAGTGCCCATTGTGGCACTATTCACAATAACCAAGTTATGGAAACAGCCTAGATGCCCTACAATAGATGAGAGGACTAAAAATGGGATTTTCCTTAACCTTTAGAAAGAATAATATGTCATTGGCAGAGAAATGGATGGACCAAGAACAAATCATATTAAGTGAGGGCTCAGAGAGACAAACAACACATGTTTTTTCTCATGGGTGGAAGCAGATCTAAAATACATGGGGACATGCTGAAAACATTACAAGATGGAATAGGAGAAACCCTAGGTCTCCTTGGCACAAGCCGAAATTTTCTTAATAGAGACCCAGAAACACAACAAATCAAAGAAAGGTTGGACAAATGGGATTGCATGAAACTGCAGAGCTTCTGCATGGCAAAGGACATAGCTAGCAAGATCAAGAGAAAGCCCACGGATTGGGAGAAGATCTTCACTAGCCATACAACAGACAAGGGTCTCATATCTAAAATATGCCTGGAACTCAAAAAATTAAATCCCCCAACAACAATCCTCAAAGAAACAACTGCCCGATAAGTTGGCTAAAGACTTGCAGAGAAACTTCTCTGAAGAGGAAAGAAGAATGGCCAATAGACACATGAAGAAATGCTCAACCTCTCTAGCCATAAAAGAAATACAAATCAAAACAACATTGAGATTCCACCTCATCCCAGTTAGATTGGCTATAATCAAGAACTCTAATGACAAGATGCTGGAGGGGATGTGGACAGGAGGGAACCTTACTGCATTGTTGATGGGAGTGTAAACTTGTTCAACCACTTTGGAAAGCAGTATGGAGGTTCCTCAAAAGACTCCACATAGAGATCCCCTATGACCCAGCAATCCTACTTTTGGGCATTTACCTGAATGATCCCAGACAAGACCATATTAAAGCCTCCAGAACAGCTATGTTTATCACACCATTATTCACCATAGCTAAGATATGGAACCAACCCAGATGCCCCTCAGTAGATGAATGGATCAAGAAAATGTGGTATATGTACACAATGGAATTCTATGCCTCCATCAGAAAGAATGACATTGCCCCATTTGTTAGGAAATGGAAAGACTTGGAAAAAATTATATTAAGTGGAGTAAGCCAGACCCAAAGAAACATAGGTCCTATGGTTTCCTTTATTTGCAATAAATAGTATATGTCTGGGACAAGCAGAAAAGGTCAAATAAAATGATGTTAAGTGAAATGAACCCCAAGAAGGGACACAAATGGTTTCTTCTTTCTTGTTCTTGTTTCTAACATATTTATAATATACCATGTGATTTTTTTTTGTTGCTTTGTATGTTCCTCCCCCACGGTATAACCCCTGCTTTCACTGTATTTGATGTTGGTATAATTTGGGGAAGGGAAGGGAAAAAACAAATTGTTTAAATAAGGATACAGGTGGACCCATTGCAACAATGAGATGTACAAGATGCTATGTTGAAAAAGGAACTTTACAATTTAGGCTGGAGTGGGGAGGGTGGGGAGTGTAGTTGAGGAGGTGGGAGGGAAGGGATGGTAGGGGACAAACAAAGGAGGAGGCAACAATGCTTGATAAGAAATGTACTCATTACCTTACTCATGTAACTGTAACCCCTCTGTAAGTATTTTCACAATAAAAAACTTATTAAAAAATACACGGGGACATGATAAATTATAGAGGACTCTGGGCATTCACACACAGTGAAACCAGAGGGGTACTCTTAGAGGAGGAACACAAAGGAACAATAACTCTGTGCTTCTGATCATATGAAATAATATTTATCAAAATGAACTCCAGGAAATGGAAAGAAGAGGTTGGATTTTTTTTGTTGTCATTGTTTTTGTTTTCTTTTTGCTTTGTTTGGTCATTTGGGATTGTAAAGGGGCCACAGAAATGGAGTGGCAAAGGGTAAACAAATGCAAGAGTAGTACTCATTAGACAGGATGGAAAACAAACTAGACAACTTGTGGATGGGGATGGGAAGTGAAAATGGAGAGCGTGAGGGAAGGGGCGACATTATCCAAAAAGAAAGGTACTCTTTATCTGACTTCCAGAACTGAAATCCCTCTGTACACGACCTTTTCAGTAACAATACAAAACATGTATTTAAAAAGGTATTCTATTGTATTATTTAAGGAAAAAGTAAAGTTTAAGAACCTTTGCAGT